TCCGGTTGCGAGCTCGAATACCTAAGACTTTAGGTCTAAACTCGGCGTTACTTATCCGGTGGTCCCACCAGATTCGAGCAATGCTGCGTAGACAGTGGTTTTCGAGCACCGAAAGTTTTTCAGTATCCTAATATTGTAATAGCTATGTTTCTGCACCCCAAGGCAGCACTGGTTGAACTGCTGCAACGTACACTCAACCATTTACAGACAGTCGGATACTGTGACGGAGCCACAAATGCTTTGAGTTGGCACATACCTAATCGAAACTTCCGTATGCGTGCCGTCACTTCGTCCGCTATGTGAGATACAGCTACCCGAATAGCAAGATTTGTGTGCGCGCCCAACTACTCCGCTTAGAGTGAGGTTCATTGTAGCAACATTCTACTCTTTGAAGGTGCAAAACGCATGCCGAACATGGTTACGGTGGCATCCAATCTATCCAGAGGAGCTTGCAACTCACCAGTACAATGTCGTCTGCATGCTCGAGAGCAGACAGTCTGCCATCCAGGAGCAATTCGATGTCACTATTCCTGCCACTCCAGGTCCCGGAGTTTATATTACCGGTTTCCATTATTGAGCAGCAGATCCTCGTAACTAGGGCTACCGGCAACCATCCGCCACCTTTCTGCTGCCTTGCAGCTAGCACTTGGATGTGCAAGAGCTAGAGATGTCACCTCGACCCAATACCGGGTGTTACTGGGGACGTTTCTTGTACCTAACTCCTAAGAAATTTCATGGGTATTCACTTAACCCGTTTCACTGATCATCCTCGTCATCGTTGTACAGCGTTATACAGTGAAGCGAACTTCACTGATCGCTGCCAGACTCATTACATACAAGGTAAGTGAGAATGTTTAAGGAGGATAAGGATTAGATTTAATTTTAGGGACGGGACATGAAAGTGAACCTCTATGGTCAACACAGAGTACACAGCCCAGCTGTGCAAACAAACTATTTCAAGCATTTTGGTCTGATAAAAAGTGACAGCATGATCGCCATTGCCGTTCGCAACCATGACATTCAGTGTCTCCAACCGCGCAGTTTCGGAGTCTTTTGAACTCCATCCCTTAAGACGAGAGAAATACTTACTTTACCTAATTGCTATGAACATTTCTTCATGCCCCGTCTCCACGTCATCTGCTGTACCAGCCACTGCAAACAAGGCGCGCTGCGGTAGACGACCGTCGGATATACGTATGACGTGTCCTAACGAACGTAGCCCATTGAGCTGGATTCCAGGTGAGTTCGATGCATTCCCAAACACCCGACGACTTACACCGTAAACTACGCAAAGATTCTTACATCGGATGCTGGAACGTAAGAACACTGTTGGATGTCTGGAGTCAGGCGCTAACGATTCGTGCGCTGCATGACTATGAGCTGGATATTACATGCCTACTAGAAGTCAAATTGGCGGGCTCCAGATTCAAAAATATTAACGGGGGACTGGAACGCTCAAAATGACTCACAAAAGGAGGCGACGAAGCACATCCTAGGTAGGTTTAGCCTGGGCCAGTGCTTCGGGCATGGCGACAGACTATTCAGCTTCGCCGATTGTAATCGATTGTTTATTACCAACACTTGGTTTCAACATCTAAAATAGCATCTTCTGTCATGGTACTCCAACGACGGACGAACTGCACACCAACTAGATTACCTTATTGGTTCACGATAGGTTTCTTCGGTTGAAGACTGTCGATCCTATCACGGGGCTGAATGCGGTATTATAATTCCACGGTTGACGGAAGATGTTTACTGTAGTTAACAGTTAAGGTACCATTAATTTACAAACTTTTTGGGCGCACAAGGGGGTGTTTGTGTGGACGGATGGCAATCGCCTCGGCAGTTGACAAAATTCTGAACTTGACCTCTTTGGATAACCTACCCTTGACCGTGTAGAGAGGACGGAAAGCCTCAAACACATTGACTGTGATTATATTTAGTATACATATAACAGGAATCTCATTTAAAACATACCGCAGTTCCTGGCGGCACACCGGGTAATGCATTGAGCAGTCGGTAGTTATTCTTCGAGACGACAATTTTCCCCTTGGTGGTTTTGTTAATTTTTATCGTTGAAAGAAACCACCAACCGTATTGTTTTGCATACTACTCACTAATTCGAGTTGTACCTCAACAGTCCTCCGTTGCAAAAGGGATCTGTGGATGCCTCGACCAGTAAACTACTGCTTCTTGGATTGTGATCGCGTTTGTCTCCGGGTTTCAACGTCGGGATAGCGTCGTGCTTGATTTTGTGTGATGTTGTTCTGGAGTTCCTTTCGTTAGTTTACGTCGTGGGTTGTACATTTCTTCGTGCCATATTGCAAGATCGTTCCGATGTACATGACGGACTTTGTTCAGCCGTTGTACTTTGTACACGTTATGATTTTCTTCAACTTTACGGTATGGACCTTTTCATGTGGGAATTAACTTTCTCGAGCCAGGGTCACTGGCGAATCCCCCAACATGCCGCTTATACTTCAATTTAGATTCAATCAGAGGCACGCTGGCCGTCCTTCTAGGTCGTATCCTAAACTTGTGCATAGCGCTCTCCTGCACCTTCAGATATTCTAGGGCTTCACAACATGTCTGTTGAAGTTGTTGAGGAGATAAATCCTTTCGCGGCTAAATACCAACGTTGATATCCAATGGCGGCTTGAGAATTCTTCCACATATCATTTGTAATGTTGTATTTGGTACTGGTCTGCGCGAACGAACGGTACGCCGAAAGTAGTGAGGTAGGGCAGGCTCCTAATCCCTTCCTTTCGGTGCCAACCATTCTTTGATTATTCTGTTATTTCGTTCTGTGTGGCCGTTGGTTTGTGGGTGCGTATCTCGTGCTTATCTTTTTGATGCATACCTTCTGTATACACGTGCTAAATTTATCCCTCTCAAAGTACGGGCTTTGATCCGTAAGGATGGCTTGCGGTACACCATGATTCGCCACGATATGCTCCATCACAACTCTTCCTATCCTAGCGGCTTTTTGATCCGCGACTCCTACAGTTTCGATTCAGCGCGTGAAGTGCTCCGTCATTACAACGATGTATTGGTGTCCTCTGGGAGACCTCGGAAATGGGCCCATGGGGTCGATGGACCATACCTCACTGGTCTCGGATACTGGTATTGACTAAATTGGACATTGTGATGGGCGAAAGTCTGACTTGAAAAGTTGACATTTTTCACACGCCAGTTGGTTAGTCCAATCGGTCTCAATATTTAGCCAATACGCCCGCTGCCGAAACAGATCGTAGGTTCGAGCGCAGTCAGCGTGTGCCAGTTCATGATTTTCTTTTCTAAGGCTTTGCGCAGCTGTTTCGGAATAACAACCATAATGCACCTTCCTGGCTGTCGTTTCATCAAAATTTCCACCGGCATTCAAATAAAGCTGCTTCCATACAGATTCCCATGTGCGTGCTATGTTGCGCGTTTCGGTATATANTATATATATATATTGACACACCTTAGTGTGATGATTAGCAGATGGGGTAAACCCCATAGTCACGAGGACTTGCTGTTCAATGATGGAAACCGGCAACCTAAGCTCTGGGACTTGGAGTAGCGAACCACATAAGGTCCCCATAGGTTAGGTGTGGTATTGAACCGGACGACAGCAAAGCTGCCTCGTGAGATTGCTTCGATCATCTTGCGGAGTTCTTGGTCTTTGCGCCGCTCCTTCGCCAATCCGTGCGGGTCTTATCCCGCTGTCAGCATACTGAGACGGAAGAAATCTGTTTCCTCCTGACGACAATATCCGGCATACAGGTTTCGGCCTCTGCAACGTGATTGATCGTGAAGTCATATTCCTGCAGGTGAAACGCCCATCGGGCTAATTTTGCTCTCGGGTCCTAGGCGGTTTCAACCTACTCCAGCGGCTTGTTCGTTTCTGTATGAAAACGTTGACCCAGAATATGTGGTCGCCACTTATCCACTGTCGAAACGATTGCAAGACATTCTTTTTCCTTAGTGGAATGTTTGCTTCGCGTTGGAGTAAGGACCCTGGCTGCGTATTCAACCACTCGACTTGCTTGTTTGAGTACTGCTCCCACTCCAACGTTACTGGCATCCATTACAACTGTAAAGCGATCATCTGTCCCCGTTTTTTTCAGTGTCACGTGTTACTCGGTGATAGTCTTTTGGAGTTGATCGAAAGCTTTCTGGGCTTCTGGTGTCCATCGGAAACGATATTCTTTTTTTGAGCAATGTGTATAACGGTTCAGCGATATTCGAAAATTTTTCGCTGGACCGGGTATAGTATGCGGCACAGCCCAGAAACCGTCTTAATGTTCTTTTCGATGTTGGGCGTACAAACTCCTTCTCCTCACTTATTCGTTTCCAACGTTGTCCTCAAATAAAGTCACTGTCGGCTTCCCAATTCGGGACTTTAACCATTAATCCGTAGGCCAGCTTCCTGGGTTCTTTTCAAGACATTTTGCAAGTTGAATGTGTGTTCGGTTATTGTTTGACTGTAGACAATAATATCATCACCATACACTACCACGTTGGGGACGCCGTCGAGTAACTTCAGCATGAAAAGGCGAAATGTAAACGGTGCTGCTGATAGTCCGAATGACATTCGTTTGAACTAATGTTGGTTACTGCCGACTGTGAACGCCGTTTTCTCTCGCTCGGCTTTCTTTATCGGTACTTGCCAATATCCCGATCGTAGATCCACAACTGAGAAGAGTTTTGCGCTCTACAGTTGATCAAAACTTTCTGCCACAGTTGGTACTGGGACTGCCTTGTTTATAGTCACAGTGTTTACTTGGCAGAAATCCACACATAACCGAACTTTACCGTTGGGCTTTTTAACCCGCTGCACGGGCGAGTTATATGGACTTCGAGTTTCTTCAGTGATTCCTTCCTTCAACGTTTGTTCAACCTGTTGCTTGACTTCGTCCTCCAAGTGTAGTGGAATTCGGCATGGAACACAGGCTCAAAATTTTCCCGCCTTTATTGAAATTTCGTGTTCGACCCAGTTACAGAACCCGTACGGGTCATCATCGGGCTTCGTGAGTCTGGAAAACCGAAACTTCGTGATCGGTTAACTGCCTCGGCTTCAGCCAGCGTGAATAAATCCATGTCACGCTGCGCTTGGACAATTCGTACCTTATCCCGCGGATTGTCCGGCAGACTCCACGTAACGCTCCAGCAATAGTTCCCAGTGAGTAGCGTCGTTCAAAGTTGGCTGCGCTCGATCCAATATGGTGCGACAGGGAATCCGCACCAACTCCGAGCTGCGCCGTTTGGAAGCTTCGCAACGCCTTCTGGCTGTCGGTCGAGATGTCGAAACTCGCGATCGGGGCGTCGTTCGCGGCGCCCCATTCCACTTCCTCCGAACCTCTTCGCGCCGCATCCATCACCTCCCTCACCCGACCTTTGAGAAGTGCTCGAAGACCCGTCTAGTTACTCCGTTCCGACCGTGTTCTCGCCAGCTCCGCGATATCTTCAAACTCCTTCGGGAACGTCCGCGCGTCTCCATCCTCGAAGGCTTCAGGCCATGGAACCTTCATCTTGATCCTGCCGACGGCACCAGTTGCTCGATCGAAGGAAGTTGTTAATTGCGGATAATAGTTAGGGTATCATTAATTTAGCATTCATATAACAGAAATCTTATTTGAAACATATCATCGCAGTTCCTGGCAGCACACCGGGCTGCGTTGATCAAATATTCCTTTTAGGTCGACTCTTGGAACATCGCCACAAGTTTCAATAACCCATAGCAGTCTGCATCATTGATTTACTTGCGGTATTTGATTCCGTAGATCGCGAATCTCTCTGGAACATAGTTTTGGCCGATGGTTTCCCAGGTGAACTAATAAACCTCATGAGATCCTACTATTCCAATACTAGTGTCCGACGAGGAGTCATGCGCGTTCGAATAAGGATCTGGAATGCGACAGGGGTGCCGATTGTCCCCAATGCTGTTCAACTTTGCTGTTGACTGTATAATGGGTCGTTCGATGGAAGGATACCAGGTATTTCAGATCTCTGAACTTATGGCTCACCAACTTAGATTTCGCTGATGGTATTGTAGTCTTTTGTGAGGATATGTCTCATCTCCAATTAATCATTGACCGCATCAGTCGACAGGCCTCCGAGATCGGCCTAGAAGTAAACACATCAAAAAGCAAAAAGTTTTGCGACAGTTCCGATTCATCCCGAAGATGCTTTACTACTAAACGGCGAGCTGATCAAATCCGTCGAAAGCTTTAAATATTTGGGCTCAATCATACTTCCCAACGGCCAGGCTAAAGATGAGCCATAAGTACTTGTCGATGCTGCAAGAAAGACGGTTTGACAGCTGAAGAATTCCCTTCGGTGTATAAATAAAATCAGCCTAAAGACAAAAATACGAGTTATCTCCGCAGCAGTCCATCCTGTCTTGCTATACGGGTGTGAAACCTGGCCACTTAGAGTTAAAGACTGTCGACGATTAGAAGTTTTCGATCACTGGTGCTTAAAATAATCATTCTGGGAGTACGGCGGATCTCAAATCAAGCGGTCAGAATTGGGTTTTAATCGTATATGGCTGCGGATGCTAATATAACGGCGGCGACAACAATGGTTTTGTCTGACAACGACCTGAACAAGGCTGCCTTGGCATCGCCTCTCTGCCCGAAATGATGCTGTCGACGTTGAGCAGCTGAAAACGTGGCTAGACACGGTACGAAAAGATACAGAAAACCTTGGTCCCCGCTGCGCCTTCGGCACCCGCCAATGGAAATCAAGCTGGATCACAATCTGCGCTGATCTTGCCGCATACCAACGAGCGTGGCCAGCGACAATTCGGGATATCCATGAAGTCGATTTATCCTCCCCCAGGAGCCAGTCGCCGGAAAGTAAGTACTTTGGCGATTACCTCGTCTGCTGTTCATCACACGAATGTGCATAATAAAAAGATTGAGGACAGAGCCGTTTCTAGAATCGGATATATAACGGAATTGAATAGAAACTGAGAGGAAGGATAACCCTGAAAAATACCATTTTTTCGTAGTGAACTTGGTCGAGAAAGTGCCGAAGGCTCGAGCTCGGCCTCGGCTATTAGAGTAAAGAAATCACAAATCTGAAAAGAATTCTGGGAAACATCCTTTATAGCGAGGCAGCACTGGAGTTTAGAGCGGTCGAATGAGTCGAAAGCCGCTTTCAGATTGAGGGAGATAGAGACGATGAGTCTTCAAAATGAGTGTCTGTGTTGTAAAATTTGACAAAGGGTAAAAATTTGGTCGATACAATCTCTACCACGTCTAAAACCAGTTTGGTTATCACGCGTTCCGTCATCACCTGCGGCAGACAATCGGCGGATTGTGATACCAGTGAGAAGTTTGGAGATGGTGTTGATTATACTGACTCCCCTGTCGCCTTTCTTGCAAGTTGATATGATCGATTCACCTGTTGTGTCTTGCCAAACTATTACAGAACGAATTCTCACGATGCGTATTCCAACGATTCCAGTTAAAAGTCAGTTGGAGATAGTGCGAGCCTTGAGTTGTAGCGCCAGCCAAAACGTGGTCGAGTAAGGAAGAGAACGTGTGATCTTTATGGGGTTGTTCACGATCTAGATATGTGTCCGGAACGGGAGTTACGTGAACATCGATGGACAAAAAGGCCACAAATCAGGTCACCGTACTCTGACGCCCGCGCCTCCAATACTATCGAGAAAAAGCCAACACGTTCACTCGGTGGCGACATGTCTCAATTCATTTCTGATTCATATTGTTAGGATTCTCAGGGCACAGTTAGACTTCCTCTGACAACACTAGTCAGTTGGAACCTGTTCCCTCTACCACAATGAGCCCAAGAGTTTTGTTAACTCCAAAACCAAGGCTGAACCTCCATCGTTAAAACCTTATAGCGACAGCTGGTCCGGACCGGAGACCATATGCCTTTTTAGTATATCTTATTTCCCGGGAAACCTGCATTTCAAATGGAGAACTGGCATGAACTGTAAGTATTTTCCCAGTCGAGGGCAGAGGGGGGGGGTGTAAGTTAGATGTCGATAGGGGCCAGTTGAACTGAGCCTCGATAAAGATGACGTTGCTCATGACGAACCAATGTGTCATTACATCACGCCTATTTTCCCGTGTGAAGTTGATACCGGGCACCTGCTCGTTGATCATTTGGTGGAACTGATCTACTGTGGAGGTTCTGAGTACGACGAGTGTATCATCCACGTAACGTATCCACAGACGAGGTTGTAGGATTTCAGAGGCTTTGGCTTCGAAGTGTTTCATAACCGCATCCGCAAGCAGCCCTGAGAGTGGCGAACCCATTGGAGTTCCTCGTATCTGCTGGTACACCTTCCCGTCGAATTGGAAATAGGTTTCCATACAGAGTTCTACGAGTTTCATTATTTCGTCCACAGAAAGTTTCGTTCTTAATTGTAAATTTTGGTCGTTTTGCAACAAGTGTCGGATACTTTCGATGGCCATTTGCTTCGGTATATTGGTGAACAGTGAGGTCACATCGAAAGAGATCATCACTTCATCTGGTTCAATGGTCAGTCCCTTGATGCGTTCCAGGAAAATCGTGGGACTTTTTGCATCATTTTGGTTTGCAGGTAATAATGGGCGTAGTAGCTGGAAGAGATATCTTGCGAGATTGTAGTTGGGTGCTGTCGTGGATGCGACAATGGGTCGTAGTGGTACATCGGGTTTGTGCACTTTCGGTAGTCCATAGAACCGTGGTATCGGACCTTCTGTTGGTTTGACTCGTCTATGTTCGTCATCCTTTAGTTTCTTGTTTTTCTTGAGAGTGGAAAAGGATTTGGTTAGTTGATTCCTCAGCTGCTTTAAGGGGTTCCCGTTGACCGGTTGATAAGTTTCCTTGTCTTCGATGAGTTGTTTTATCTTTTTTGTATATTCTGTTTTGTCCAACAGTGCGATTGCATTGCCTTTGTCTGCCGGAAGAATGATAATATTGGAATCATTTTTCAGCGATTTCAATGCTTCCATTTCGACATCAGGGATCAACTGTGATTGTTTCTGTTGGTTGAGCTGTTGGCATAATTTCTCTTTTGTCTTCGGGCAACGAGCAGTTTCTTAGTCCGTTCTCCACAGAGGCGATGAAGTCGGTCGGTTTGGCATTAGAGTGGTTGAATTTCAGGCCTTTCATGAGAATTGCCGATTCTGCGGTTGTGTGTTGGTGTTTGGAGAAGTTGTGGATCGGCTCGGAATATCCTGAACTTGTTGCTTTCAAGTTGTCAAGTTTTTTGTTTAGTCTTACTCGGGTTTTCAAACGGTTTGCGGTTGACGTCTCTTCTATGACGTTCTTTATTCGTTCGATCCAATCTGCGTCCAGTGATTTGCTTGCTTCGTTTCTGAAGTGCTCACATTGGTAGTCGTATACGGATTTTCGTCGGTGGGCGTCATTGATCAGTTCGCGATGCATTCGTTTGCAGTAGGCAAGTGCGATGATTCTAACACCTTCGGAGC